CCACGGAGCTCTCAGGATGGCAAGGCTCCTGGGCAGAATCCAGCTCCTCTGCCCTGGGCTGCCTTTGATAGCCCGTGCATGTCGGGCGGGGGGGCGGGGGGGAGTTCTCCCTAAAAGACTGTGGAGCATGAAAACACATGGCAGTAGCTAGGTGGGCATGCTCTGAATGTGGCTCTGGAGCCCCTCAGTGCCGGCTGGCTGCTGGATAGGTGCCCGGCAGGCTCACTGGCCCTCCAGGAGGCCTAGGTAAGAGGGGGCAGGGCAAGGTGTATCCCTCCAGTCGCAGGGAGGCTCTCCTCTACAGACTGATGGCAACAGGTGCTCCCTCGCTGCCCTCCATGAAAGCACCTGGCTGGGCTCTCCCAGGCTGCTCCCTAGGAAGCCCCTTCTGAGGAGCCCTGCACGGAATGAAATGACTCAGAAAGGGACCTGGCTCACTCTGCTTGAGCTTCTCCAGGAGTCACCTGTACTGCCCGGGAGCTACCTGGACTCCAGGTACGGTGCTGGCTGGGGCTCCATCTATGACGGGAAGCACAGGGGTAGCTGCTATGGGCCAGGGACGGTACTGTTGTTTCAAGGCGCCAATCCAGAAAAAGGGAGATGCAAGAAGGAAGCCAAGTGGCTGAGAGGGTGAGAGCCAGACCCAGGGAGCTAACTCTCCACCAGCGGCTGCGGCTCGAGCCTGGTGAGAGAGGCCCTATGGATGAGACCTGGTATTCCCGCGACTCGTGAAGTTGCTTACTTCCTGGGGAAACTGGCCCAGTGATATCTGGTTTGCTGCTTTGTCTCTGGATCTGTGCAGGGATCTGAGAAGGAGAAATGTATGCCTGGCTCTCAGCCTTGTGTTGGACGGTCATCTCAGCGGCTCAGCATCTCAGTGGGGAAAATACCCTGAGCCTGCAGCACGGGTGCAACGCTGAGGGAGATGGTCCCCCCAACTCTGTTTCTTTCCTTCTCCCAATCCTATTTTATCTGCACGCTGCATGGCACTGAGATGGTCAATTCTCCAGGTGCCTGTGTGCCAGAATGAGACACAAGACGAGCTGCCTGCAAGGAGCAAGTTCAAGGAATGCAGGTGCCAGGGATGTGGGTTAAGACAGGTGTTGGGGGGCTTGGCTCTGTGACAAGGGACACACACAGGCTGACACGCACCCCCAGCTCTCTGGGGTTAACCGAGTGGCCATTCGGCTGAGCAGGGCGTGACCTCCTGAGACCCTTCCTGTGGCACTGTGAGATAAGAAAGAGGGCTGTGTGGTGCAGGGCACCCTCAGGCTGGGCAGTGCTATACCCAGAGCTCATCCCACCATACACAGGGAGAGGAAGGTAGGCCCGTGGCTGAGTGTCCACCCCCCGCCGTAAAAGGTAAGACGATACAGCAGCTGCTCAGGCCCACTTGGCAGGGACACTCGCATGCTTGCCGGGGGCAGGCTGAATGGGAAGCCTCCAGCCATCCCCACAGTGATGGGATGGCCAGGCGGGTTTCATTCCCATCCGGCCCAGTGCACGCTCTCTCGTAGGAGGCCCTGCCCCCTTTCCCTCCCATGAGCTGGCGGAGCCAAGACAGCACATCTCACAGCTGCCCTGAGTGGGGAGCTGAGCGTGCTAAGCTTCCCGTGCCCACTGGGAGCTGGCACTGGACTCTGACCCTCCTACGAGCCTGAGGCGCCACATCGAAGGGGGAGTAAGGATTTCCAGCACAGGCGGGAGCTCAGTGGGATGGGGACGGGGCACCTGCCTTGCAGCCCTGGGGCAGCAGGAACAGAATCAAGGCTTCCTCATGAGCTAGGAGGCTGGGCCAGTCTCTCCACCACTCTGTGCCTTAGTTTCCCTTTCCAGGCAAACTGGCCTGCCTCGCAGAGTAATTTACAAGGATGCACCACGAAGCAAGGATGAAAGGCAGCACCAGTGTGCACAGAGTCCCGTCCCCCTTTCATCTGGCTCAGCGGCTTGGTCCCCTGCTGTCTCTGATGACAGCTCTGGAACCACGGTGTCCTTGCTCTGGGGGTCTGCCAGGGAGGCACAGGATACCGCTGCCAGACCTCTCTGTGGCTGGTGGCTCCCAACAGCCCCCCAGTGACTCTGATGCACGCCAGAGTGCCGGCTTCCTCCAGCCCTGTCAGCAACACCTCCCGAGTGGCCCTCCCAAAGGGCGCCCAGGGAAGGCTGCAGGCGCATCCACAGGGCGCTGGCTTCCTCCAGCTGGGAGAGCCACAGGGGCGACCTGGGCGCCCACTGGAGGGAAGCCAAGTCTAAGCTGCTGAGCCCTGCCTCTCAGTGACCTTGGAAAAGTCTCTGCCTGCAAGGGGAAGATGGCCAAGACCCTTGCAGCTTCGCCTCTAGGAGCTGCTGGGTGAGGGGATGGAGGGAGGTGTGGGGCTCTCTGGCCTCAGACACCTTCAGAGCTGGTCCTCCCTGAACGCTGCCTGTAGCTGCTACCGTTCTGCCCTGATACTTGGGGACTCCACGCTCTACCTCTGGGACCTTTGGTGACATGAAGGTCACTGGGAATTTAGTCCAGGATTAAACACATGCTACTTCCAGCCAGAGTCCCCGGGAATGTAACACATCCCCCCAAGGTTCTAACAGCAGAGGAAGCCTCCCGTCCCCTCACGCCATGCTGCCCAGCTGCCAGGGGCCCAGCACCAACTGAGAGGAAAGTCTAGAGGCGCCCCTCCCTCCCAGCCCCTCCAAGAAACTGCGACATCCAAACTGGTGCCACTCACTTCTCCTGAATCATTTGGGTCTACATCACTCAAAGAGGAAAGAAAGCCAGCCCCACAGTGTGATGCCCCCAAGCTGCCCACGGAGCTCACCCCGCCAGCAGACCCCCAGCACCGAAGGCCATGACCCTCGCCAGGCAGGAGGCAGTATTTTGTCTTGCCACACCTCTGGCATGCAGTCACTCTGTGCCCACTTCTTCCTACTCGAGCCCCACATACAGACATGAAAGGGTTTTGAGCATGAGACCAGTTTCGTGTTTGTCATAACCGACCCCTCCTCACCTCCACCACCTCCACTGCCACCACGGCCTGGCTCAGTCCCCGGAACCGAGCAGCGCCCAGCAATGCAGAGCAGAGAGAAACACAAAGAGCTCCACCTCGGTTTTGCGGGAAGCCTCCCCCAGAATGCTTTCGAGGCAGGAACGCACTGCAGCCTGGACACAGTCAGTGCCATTGGGGCCAGGTGTGGACTCAGGGTGTTTCTGAGGGACACAACCTGGGGAGCCAATGTCCTCTAGGCCCCCCACTGCAAGAGCACAGGGGCAGAAGCCCAGGAGCTGCTCATGAGCCTGGGCTCTGCAGGTGGATGTGTCTGCCAAGCAACAATCCGGAGGGCAGATGGGACTCTCCACCTGCAGATCCCCAAACCCTGGGCCTGAATGCGGCTAGGTTAGCAAAGCGGGAGCCTGCTCTTGGCATTGGAAGGGGGCTGGCATGTCTGAGGGGGAGGAGAAGTTGCAGAGAGAAGATATCCTGACATGACAGACAGTGGGACAGCTGTGGCCTGAACTTAGTGTTCTTGTTCCTCCGATGTATTAATTTCCATAAATGCTAACAGCCCATTTCCCCAAGAGCTATTACTTATGTCATCTCCCCTTGGACACAGTTCAGCACGGGGTGGAAAAATGAAAGGGATAGGCAGCCCCCATTGGGGGGTCCCCGCTTCCCATTCCTTTCCCCACCACCACAGCTCAGGTCTTTTCCCTAAGGTGTCCCTGCTGACTGCAGGGTCAAGACCCCCCCTGCCTTCAGCCCCGTACCTGGGTCCCTGACATGCCGGGAAGCAAAGAAAGTTACCAACCCCAAAAATGCTGAATCACAAAGTGAAGCTGAGCAGGAAAGTGGGGGTGGGGTGGGGAGGGAGACGGTGGCCAGGGAGGCAGGAAAGGGTGCCAAAGGGTTTTCCACCTGGAGCCCCCCAGAAAGCTCGAGGCAAAGCGTTGCTTCCCAAGGGCCCCCAGGACAAATGCCCGGAGGAGCGGAGCCAGGGTGCGCCTGGGTGAGAGGGTGGGAAGGTGGGTAGGTACACCAGCTGCTGCTCTGCAGCAGGAAGGCGTGCGGCTCGGCTGCAGGGTCTCTGCACCCTGCAGGAGCAGCAGCAGGTAGGGATGTGGGGAGCTAAGAGAAGCTGAAGATGGGGTAGGGGCGTCCGGACGTGGTGGGGTGGGGGTGGGGTGTAGGCAGCCAGAGGGAACGGGTGCTGGAAGGTAGTGCCAAGGTCCTGGGGAGATGGGCGAGGTGGAGAGAAGGCGACCATGGGCAGCAGCGATGTGGGGGCTGGAAGCAGTGTGGGAGGATGGGGACAGGGACCAGGAGGCACAGGCAAAATGAGCCTTCAGGAGCAACAAAGAGGGGAGGCGGGGAGGACCGGGGCCAGGAGCACCCCGATGGGGCCGCGCAGAGGCCCGGAGAGGGATGGGAAGGGGGTATTACGGGGGCAGGGGGAGGCGAGGCTGCGGGAAGAGAAGGGGGCAGAGGGGAAGTACGAAGTTTGGGGCAGGGGCCGAGGCTGGGAGCAGGAAGGTGGGACGGGAAGGCAGACAGGACAGGTAAGGGAGGCGGGATGGGGGAAGGGAGATGATGATGGAGGTGAGACGGCGGGAGAGGAGGTAAGGACGGAGGCGGGCGCGGGGACGCGCTGGCGAAGAGGAGATGGAGAATCGGCGCAGCCTTGCGGGTGCCCGCTGCCGCTCTCCCGGCGCACAGCTTTAGGCGGCGCGGCCCGCGAAGGTCTCCCCTGTACTAACCTGGGGGCTCCAGCTCCGGATCTCGTGGCCCGGTCCGGATCTTCCTTCCCGCCCCGACCCGGCGACTTTAGCGCCCCTGAAACCCTCTCGCTCCGCCAGGTTCCGCTCGCAGCATCTTCACCTCGTGGGACGCCCAGACCACGCCTCTCCTAGCCTCTAATTGGTTGCTCTTCACGCCAGTCACATTCCCATTGGCTGAGGGATCGTCGGCCATGCAAATCAGGACAGGCTCACCGCCACGCCAATTGGCTGGTGCTGCCGAAGCGCAGCTCCTCGAGTTCAGCTCTGATTGGTCCGCGGGCCTGCCGACGACGCTGACGCGGGGCGGGCTCTCCGTTCGGGCGCGCGGCGTGTAGCCTTCCAAGGCTTCTTCCGTGGGTTGGCAGCGGATGGGACGCCCCTCGGCTGGTCCTTGGCCCGCTATCCTGCGGCTCCGGTGGGCGCCGGCCGGCCGCCGGGGATCTGGGCCGGTCGTGGGGGCACTTCCTCGAAAGCGTGGGTTTTCATGCCCCGGGCGCGCGGCCGCAGCGGGCTGTCACCTAGGTAACGCTGCCCGCGGCGGGCGGAACCACGTTGGCAGGCGCCGCGGGGGAGGGTGGAGGCAGCCTCGGGGAGTGGGGCGTCACTGAGCGGGCTGGGGCCCTGGGCCCGGGTGGGGGTGCTCTGGGAGTCTCTCCGCGGGGACGCAGTGCGGGGCGGGGCGCCGCGGCGGGCGGGGAGCGGGGCTGTGCCCGGGTCACTCAGACTGGTCCCTCCTCCCGACTTGACACTTGGTACGGTCCGGGCTGCTCCGTTTCACTGGGGGGCCTTCTGGGGGCTCAACCTCTGCCCTCTGCCCTCAGCCCTTGATCCTGCACTCCTCGGCAGTACCCTGGCTTGAGGAGAGCGCGGTGCGGACTGCCAGGACTTTGTTGAGGCCTTGGCGGTGGCCTTCCCAGACTCGGCGTCCCTCCTCTCCTTTAGGCCAGATCCCTATCCTCCGCTGGGTGTGCGTGTGCCCGCGCCGGGCGTCTGTTCCCCGTTGGGGGACTGTCTGGGCTGGGTGTTTGTTTCCCGCTGGCCTGTCCCAGTGCCCCTGCCCAGTGAAGATCTGGAGACTACCTGGCTGTCGCAGGAGGGCCTACCTGCTTGCTTCTGGTCGGCCCTGGAGGCGCCCCTGCCTTCCCCCCACTGTCCCGCCCGCTGACCTGACTGTCTCTGAGCTTGCCACCTGGGCCCTTCCTGTGGCTGGAATGCGTGCTCTTCAGCTTCTGACACAGAGGCCCCACCTTTGCACATGTCTTCACTGTCTGTCTTTATAGAAGCAGGCTGAGTTTTCAGACACGCTCCCACCTTGGGGGGTGGTGGGTGTCGTTTTGGTTGAAGTGTAGAAAGGAGGTCTGGCCTCACACATTTGTGTAGTTGGAAAAGGAGTACTTCAGATGACTGTGGGTAGTCAGCCCTGCTAATTACCCGGGTCTCTGCCGCAGCTCCTGCATCCTCTGCTCCTCCTAGCCGCCTTCATAGGTCACAACCATGTCTTTTGTGTGTGTGGTTACTTGTATCCTGTTTTTTTGTCTCTCTCTAGATACATTCCATGAAGCACGGAGCTTGTCTGTTGTTTTCAGGATGGTTTCTCCAGGGCTTGGCACATGTTTACTTACTCCCAAAAAAGCTTCCTAAAGCTTTTGGGTCTCAGGCATTACAGATTTTGTTCACTTCCTAGAAGGAAGCGTCTTTGTGCCTGGACAGCTCCTGGCTCCCCCTGCCCTTCCCTTCCCTTAGGGAACTACTGTGGGCTTTCAGCCCAACTTCTGGCCCGCTTGCAGGTGCCTTCCTCTTGCCCATCCCCCACACCTCCGGAAGAGGGAGACGGGACTAAGCTCATTCATACTCACACACCCCTTGTCTTTCTTCCCCATGGATTCTTAGATTCTTGAAGATGGCACTTGACGGTCTGCTTCACTATTGAATGTACTGGAACAGAGCAAGTGCTTGGTAAGTATTGTGGAACAGGATTGTGGAAGCCATGACCTCAAACGAACTTCATGGTCCCCTCATTCTGCAGGTGGGAAACTGACACAGGGCAGGCAAGGCTCCCCGGCCAGTGCTCACACCCTATCTCTGGGGCCTCTCCTGGCCCTGACTGCGTGCCTTTGAGGCTCATCACAGCCACGTGTGGCTTTGGACTGGCCACGTAACCTCTGTGTCTCACTGTCCTCAGCTAAGAGGTGTGATGATGGCGACATGTCCCTCACGGGGTTGTGGGGGTAGCATGTGTGAAGGTGCCCTGTGCGCCTGGCCCACAGGCTCAGGAGAAGCTGCTGCCTGCTTTGCTGCCCCTGGGAGCCCATTGTGCCCTTTCCTTGGGCTAAGTGTAGAACCCTCCCAGCTTTCCTCTGTGTCTGGCCCCAGGTGCCCTCTGCCTGCCCTCCGCAGCATTCACCATTCATCTACAACATAATTTAGCCATTTACTTAATCATGAAAAACAGTTTCACTGAGGGCTTGGTCCTGCAGAGCAACAGTAACCCTATAGCTTGATGAAGTGTGGTGGCTCTTCTGTGACAGGATCCTGTGTAGGGAGCAGCTTGTGGGGGGATGGGGGCACTCAAACTGAGGAGGTGGCATTGGGTGTGACTCTGTGAGGCAAGTGGGAATCACCAGGGTAGTGTGCGTGTGAAGGGCCAGAGAGGGCATGGTGTCTGGGAGGAATTTAAGCAAGGATGGGGGGTGGGGAGGAGGCGAAGGGTGGAACTCTGTCCCAGCGCCTGTGGCTGCCTGGCCCTCACCCCCAGGGGCCTGCGTCTAAGCTGGCCCATCTGTCTCCATCACCTGCTCAGACTGTGGCCGCCCACCTCCACCTGCCCAGTCTCTGTTATAGTTGGGTGGCCCCTACTCTCGGAATGGCTGCCTCCTTTCCCAGCATGTGCCCTTCTGGTACAGCGGGGCCGTCCCATGGTCTTGTTTCCCTGCTAGGGTGGGCGAGCACGTGAGTGGTCCTCGGCAGCATCTACTGGCCCCACAGTCACCAGGGAGGAGGAAGAGCTGCTAGGCCAGGAATTTGGGGCAAGGGAGCAGAGTCGTGAGCCGCCTGCCAGGGAGGTGCCGTCCCGGAACTGAGGGACCATGGGGCGGAGTGTGTGGTGCAGAGGTTCCGCTTGGAGGGAGGCTCCCCCCGGGGGCGCTACGGCATGTGCTCTGCCAGTGCTCCCAAGGCAGGAGAGACTGCTCTGTAGGAATGCCCCTCTCAGTCCTCTTGGGCACTCGATTTGTGTGAATAAATGTCCAAATTGTATAAAGAAAGTCAACAGGAAAACATTTATCTAAAAAAAAAAGCTTGAGAGTCAACTTTCTTGAAACTTCAATTTGATTTTGTGAATATTTTGCATTCTGATGGTGAGCCAGGTTCTGGGGACACAGAAAAGTAGGTCCCCCCTTCTGCAGGTAGTTGGCCAGTGAGCAGACCAGGACAGGACAGGTGGCAAGGGCCGTGACCATGGGAAGCCCGGGGGCCGTGTGGTTCTAGGGGCTGGACCCCTGGGAGTCTGGGAGCCTCCAGTAAGCCCTCCTGGGCAGGGGGTCCTCTTGCAGGGTGTTGGTCAGGCCTCTTCTGCTACTGGTCGTGGATACCTGTATGAATGCCCTGCGGCTTCTGTAACAAGTGAGCACAAAGTGATGACTTAACACAACACAAATCTACTCTCTTTCCATTCTGGAGGTCGGAAGCCCAAAACTCACCGGGCTAAACAGGGCGAGGCAGGGCCGGTTCCTTCTGGGGACCCCATGGGAGAATCTGCTTCCTGCCTCTCCCAGCTTCTGGAGGCCCCGGAGATTCCTGGCTCACTGCCTGCGCGCCACTTTCACGTCTCCTCGCTTCTGTGGTCGCTGGCCTTTTCTCTGACACCTTCTGCCTGCCTTTTGTAAGGACCCTTGTGACTGCATCAGGCCCAGTTGGGTAACCCAGGATACTCTCCCCATCTTAAGATCCTTAACTTTGTCATCCCTGCAAAGTCCCTTCTGCCAGGTGAGGTCACACATTCATAAGTTTTGGGGATCAGGCTGGGGACATCTTTGGGGGCCATCATTCAGCCCATCACAGGAAGCCACCAAGGGCCTTTCTCGGCCCCTCTATCTCAGCTCCCTGGAGGAGGGGCTGTTTTCCATCAGGTTGTCTCCACCTGGAGGTATGGGTTCTGCTTTCCCATCCCCATCTCCACTGGCCTCCCCTGGGGTGCATGGTGGTCCCTGGGGCTCCAGGTGACCTGGGCAGCACCTGGCTCAGGGGAGAGACAGCCTCTCTGGAGGGAGTGTGGCTGGAGTCCCAGAGAAGAGGTTGATTGGCACTGTGGGTTCACATGTTCATCTTTGAGCCCATCACTGAAGCCCTCTGCCCAAAATTGGGGGCAGCCTTCCCACACAGAATTGGGAGGGTTGTTTCATAAAGAAAGGGGTATTAAGCAGCCAAAGATAACCCAGGAATAACAAAAAACCAAGCCAAACCAAACCACTATGCGTGCCTTACTGTTCAGATAGTCACGGTCTGGAGCTGGATGCATGGGGTTAGCGTTAACGTAAGTACGTACGTTTCTTATGAGACCCATATTCCCCAAAGGCGAACTAAGTAGCAGGAAGGGTGCCTCTGCCTCTTGTTCTAGATTCCTTCAGCCTCTGGCTTAATAGGAGACAGCTGGGTCCTCTGTCATCTGGTGTCCAATCTATTGAGGTACGTTATTTTGGTTAAAATATTTGAGAGCAGTCCAGCTGCAACCAGGTAAGGGAGAGATCTCCTGGGTAACTGTGGATCGTGTCTTACACGATCTACACCAGAACCACACAGGTGGTAGTTTCTGAAAGGGGTCTTGCAGTGTGTCTGAGCCCTGTCAGTGAACTTTTCATGCTCTGTTATGTTCAGGCCCTTTGGTCTGACCTTTCACCCATGCTGGCATTGCTCACTTGGGGGATCCTCGTTCTCAGCTCGGCAGATCCTCTAGGTGTTGACACATTAAGTCATACAGTTTCAAAGGAGCACTTTCCTTACTGTCCTTTCACCCAGAAAGTCTTTAAGAAGTGTGAAGCTGGCAGGCTCATGGTGGAGGGTATGGATTTTCCCAAATCTTATTTTTGCCTGAAAGCTCAAACTTTTATTACTTGTTTTCCTGAAGGACAGGCTCTTTTTGTTCATGTTTGAGAGACTGCCTGCAAAGTGAAAAACCAAGTCTGAATAACTGTGGTTCGTGTCAGGGGCTTGGGGGACCACATGTAGAGAACTGCCATCTTAGGAGACCACGCCCGCTGCCTTTTCTCCGTACTTGTCATTGTACGGTACAGAGGTCAGCCTCTGGTCCGAGCCAAGCTCTTTGGGTTCTGTAGCAGCTGAAATGAAGCTGGGGAAGGTTGTCCCCAGCTGGCTGGAAGGCAGATAGCATCCTTGGTGAGCCAGGTCACCATGGATCCCTTTTTTGTTTAAATTTGTCCTTGTTTTTTTTTGTTTTTTTTTTTTTTTTTTTCTTGGTTTTTTTGTTTTGGTTTCCCTTTTTTCTTGGTTTTTATTTTTTTTTTCTTGTCCGGAGGCCTCCTCTCTTGCTTTGTTCTGCCTGCTTTTTTAAGTGTGTGTCTCAAGGTCGCCTGCTCCCAGGTGGCCCCCTGCAGTTGCAGGCTGATGGCCTTTCTGCTCCAAGGTCTGCAGAAGACACTGTTTTCCTCTCAACAGAAGCAGCAGAGGCTCCAAGATTTGCATCTTATTGGCTCTGATGAGGTGATGCCCTCCTGTCCCTTCTAAGGCAGCCCTGGTCTCCAGGGCCTGGTGCCCTTGGGCAGTGCTTGACCCCCATGACTGTGTAAGGCATCTCTGCCTGTCACCGAGGCCAGGGTAGTTGTGCTCTGGTGGGCTCATGAGAGGAGGGCACGGTTACCAGGGGTGGAGCATGGGGGCTGGTCTGCTGCACTGGGGTTTGGGTGGTGGGATTGCAGAGTGGGATTTGGGGATGGTGTTTTCTCTGGGATTCATTGGGAGGTAGGAAGCTTCCAGAAGTGGTCTGAGCACTGTGGCCCTTACCGTTTATTTGTTTGAACACGAACTGTGCAGGTAATCCTGGAGGCCCAAGCGATCCTCAGACCGGCAGAATGAAGGACTGGCACAGGATTTTTGAGCAAAATATGCTGGTCCCTCTCCACCCACAGAGAGCACGCCAACCTTTAAAGGAATCGACAGCATTTCAGTGTGTCCTGAAGTGGCTTGATGGGCCACTAATTAAGCAGGTAAAGAAATTTGCTATTCATTGTAAAACACATGTTGTTATTGCTCTCAGCTGGGGGATATTGATTTTCACTTATCTATTTGAGTCTTACCCCTGTGTCCATTACCTTGGGCCACGGCAGTATTTGGAGGCAAAGTGACCCATCAGCAAAGAGAAAGTATGACTCAGCGGCTCACTCGCCCTTAGGACACCGGCGAAGCGTGTCCTGCTGCCCACAGTGGAGCAGTTTAAAGATCCTGGTGATCTGATTTCCTGGGTTGTTCTGAGCCAGATTGTTTGCAGGAGGCAGCCTTGTGCCTGCTGGTGTGGCTTGCCTACAGCCTGGCAGTGAGAACTGTGGGGCAGAACTCTGGGTGCCCCAGCTGAGCCCTGCGCCTGATGGACCACAGCCTTTTGCACACTCAGGCCCTCACTCTGTAGTTCTGCAGCCACCTTGTTCTTCAGGGAACCTGCCGGAGAGGCAGTTCTCCTCGCCGCCCACAGGACACCACAGAACTGGCCTGTCGCAGTGAGGCCCTGTGGCCTGTGGTGTTTGCAAGCAGGATCTGGGCCTGCTGGGGTGAGCACGCGGTTCTCACAGGGCGTGGCTGGGTAGGCTGTGTGCTCTGCGGCTTGTGGAGCAGCTCCCCGTGACTCAGAGTCGTTGGAGTGCCGGGTCTGTGAGCAGCTAACTGTTGATAGATTACTCATGTCCTGTCGTTCCACCCCAAGCCCTGGGACTGAGCACCTGCTGTGTGTCTGCCTCCGTGTTAGGCCCTGAGGTGGCTCCCGCTTGTACAGCCCCACTTCTCAGCACTTCCCTTGTATTGATCCACTTTGTCCTCGCAGCAGCCTCTGCAGTAGATACCTTCGTCACCCCAACTTGCAGAGAAGGAAGCAGTCTGAGAGACGTGAAGTCAGTTGCCCAGGGTGACACAGCTCCAGCCGTCAGGGAGGCAGCGCCAGGACCCCTGCCTTACAGGAGCTCACAAGCTAGTGGGCAGCAGTCTCCTCTCTCCTAGGGGTTTTATGAAGGAAATTGGATTTATTTTCCATATCAATTAATTAATTAACGAAAAGGTGATTCCTACAGTTCAAAATTCACAAGGATACACAAGGAAGTTGTGTCATCCCATGGAGTTCCTGAGACACCCAGTGACCCTGGATAGAGCCAGTATTACCCTTTTTTTTTTGTGGAACTTCCCAGAAATTCTAAGCAAATACAATGCAAAAGCATACTTGTATTGCTTTGCTTTAAAAAATATCTTAACAATATGTCTCCCAGGTTGTTCATGTCATTGCTGAAGAATTTGTTATTTTTTCTTAAAACAACGTAGTATTTCTTTGGATGAACCCTCATTTATTTTTCCAGGCCCTTATTGATGGACACTGACTTTCTCCAGTCGTTCGCTGTTACAGACATTGCTGCAACAAATGACTTTGTTTATATCACTTTTTTTCATGAACAAGTGGAATTTCTGATCCACAGTTATATGTTAAAAGTTATTATTAAGACCCAATGATAGATTGTTTATAAAAAAAGCATACTTTAAGCATGAAGACATAAAGTGTATGTATGAAAGTAAAAGGGTGGAAAAAGTTATGCTGTGTAAACTCTAGGCATAAGAAAGCTTTGTGGTTATACTAACATCAGATATAGTAGATTTAAAGATGAAGTATTACCAGAGGTAAAAGGGGCATTTCATAATGATGGTAATAACCAAGAAGCCATAATAATCCTGAATGTGTATGTACCAGTGTTGGGGCCCCAAGAACACCCCCAGGTTTGAAGATTCACTGGTAGGACTCATATGGCTCAGCATATAATCATCTTCACAGGAAAAATTACAGTGAAAGGATGCAGAGCAAGATGACCCAAGGGAAGAGCATATGGGGGGAGTGTGGGAGAAACAGCCACAAGCTTCAGGGGTCCTCTGCTAGGGGAACCCCACAGATGTGTTTAATTCCCCAGCGAAGAGCGGTGCTGACGTGTGAGATGTTGCCAACTGAGGTAGCCCATTAGAGACCCAGCACCCAGGGTTTTTGAGGACTGGTCACGTAACACCCTAGTATGTACCAAAATTCTAGACTCCCAGAAGGAAAGCAGGTGCTCAGCAAAAACCAGTTAATATAGACAGTTGAGGCACAGTCACCCATTGCTATCAGTGGCTGGTGGGAACCCTCCCCACATCTCAGTTCCCAGACTGCAGCCAAGGGCCAGCTTTTCACAGCGTAACAGTCCCACTACGCTAATGCTTTTGTGCATGGCGCCGAATAACATGGCTTCCACACGTGAAGCAAAATTGTGTTGAACTAAAGGGAACTACGTTCAGATTCACCATCCTGATTGGAAACTTTTAACTTTCCTCTCCCAATAATTGATAGAACAAATAGACCACAAAAATCATAAGGATTTGGAAGACCTCAACAGCAGCATACCACCTTGACCTGTCACCTCTAGAACACTATACCCCACAAAGAGTCATACATTCATCTCAAGTGCATGCGGACCGTCCACCAAAGACAGACTGTATGCTGGCACTAAAAATAAGTGAATAAATTTAAAAAGGTTGATATTTATAAATAGAGTATATTCACTGACTAGTATATTAAATTAGAAATGAATAATAATAAGATTTAGAAAATCCTCAGATAGGAAATTGAACAAACCAAGGAGTCAAAGAAGAATTCGTCAGGAAATCAGACAATAATTTGGACTGAGTAATGGAGGAACATATCAATGTGTGGGAAATAGGTAATATGGTCTTGTAGCTTTATATGACTATATTAGAAAAGAAGAAAAGTATAAAATCAGTGACCTCTGCTTCCTCCTTAATAATCCAAAAGAACAAATTAAAACCAAAGAAAATAGAAGAAGGAAATAGTAGATTTATGAGTGGAAATCAGTGAAGGAGAGGGCAGGTAATAGAGAAAATCAACAAAGGGAGAGGTTGGTTCTTTGAAAAGATTGGTAAAATTGCTAAACCCCTAACAAGGCTGATCATGAGAAAAGTGAGAGAAAGGAGATGACCAATGTCAGGAGGGAAAGTAGCTTCCCCGTGTATCCTATGTGTTAAACAGGTGGTCAGGGGATATGGATGATTTATATGCCAGTTAGTTTGACAACTTAGATGAAATGGATGCATTTCTTGAAAAGCACAACTTACCAAAAGGGACACTAGAAGAAACAGAAAATCTAAATAGCCCTGTGTTCACTAAAGAAACAGAATTCATAATTAAGCACAAGTGTTCTTCCAACAAAGAAAACTCCAGTCTTAGGTGGCTTCACTGTTGAATTTTACAAAATATTAAAGGAAGAAATGATACAAATTCTAGACAAACTATTCCAGAAAACAGAGGGAGGAATACTTCCGAACTGTTCTTTGAGGCCACCTGTTCACCTGTTCACCTGTTCTTTGAGGCCAGAGGTTCTCTGGCGCCCAGTCCAGACAAGGACATTACAAGACAAGTACAAACTGATATCCCTTATAAGGAGTTACACAAAAATCATCAGAACACTAGGACATCAGATCCAGGTGGTTTTATTGCAGGAACGCACAGTTGGTTTTATATAAAAAAATCAGTCAAAAGATAACACTTAAAAGAAGATCAAGTAGGAAACATTAAAAAAGTTCAGATAGTCTTACAAGTTTGTTTAGTTTTAGTTATCCTGAGAATCAACAGCCTTAGATGATAGCAAACTTTCCTGTGAAAGATATTGGCTAGAAATATCATATGCTTATTTTGAACTTGGGGCTGTAATAATGATACAATTAGTTTTAGCAAGTGTTTCTTACTGTTGTATTTACAATTTTGTTGAATCCGTGGACACTGATGGAGTTTCTTTACTTGGGATGAGTGTCTCCATTCGATGTGATGTTTACTGGGCACCTGTTCTGTGTTTGCAGCTGTACGGGGCACATGAGGATGACGGCCCCATGGTCTGTCTTCGTGGAGCTGGACAGATTTAGAAACTTCCCTGAACAGAATTGGGGACAAAATAGTGTAGAGGTAGAGGTCTGATTAGGGTCTGGAGTTTGGAGAAGGAGTCCAAGCCAGCAGAAAAGACTTGGGAGTCTCCAAGTGCTGGCAGGTGATTACCTCCTCCGGGAGCAGGGTGAGGAGGAGGAGGCCACGGTGGTGCCCTGGGCAGTACCAGCAGTGAGGGGAGGCCCCGGACAAGCCCTTGGCTGCACGCCCCCCCGCCCCCGAGGTGCACATGCTGAGCCACCCACCATGCAAGGTGGTGGGTGTCCTAGGCCTGCAGGACAGCAGGGAAGGGAATGTTCCAGGTACTGTCCTGGAGCTCACGCAGCTGGGGGACAGATGACCGTGATGCAGGCAGACGGCCGGATGGGCCCTGGGGACGCCACAGCGAGGTCGGTGGATGGGGCCTGCGCGGCAAGGGCAGTGGAGGAGAGGTGCCTGAGCGGAGTGAGCAACTGGAGGGGAGGCACAGGGCAGGGCGGGTGGGCAGAGGCAGCCGGTGGTGCCGGCAGGTCTCTGAAGCCAAGCGGCCATTCAGGCTGGGTTGGGATGCCTCCGCACACCCGTCTGCCACCATCCCCACGTCCATACAGGGGACCACCTGTTTCCCAGTTGCTTGGGACAGAAGACATGCCATCCTTCGCTAGGGATGTGGGACTCCAGCTCTGGGCCGGGAAGGCCCGGGCACGGTGGGGCAGCTGGTCACCCTGTCTGTCCTGCTCCTGCCTCACACGGCACATCCGGGCCACCGCCAGGTTCGCGCAGCCCAGCCGTCAGCGTATGTCCTGAATGTGTCCCTTTTCCGCACCACCCTGGTTCTTTCTCATCTGGGTGGTGGCAACAGCCTCCTGACAGGTCCCCAGTGTCCACTGTGGCCCCCACGTCCCCATCTCCCTGTGGCAGCTGGAGTGGTTTTCCTTTTCTCCCCCCAGATTTATCAGGGTATAATCCACAAATAAAATTCTAAGATATTTAAGGTGTACGGTGCGGTGATGTGACATTCATGCCCACTGTGAAAGGATGCCCCAGGAGTTAGTCACTGTACCTGTCCTGCGTGGGGCCGTGTGCCTTCGGCTCAGGCTGTTTCCCCTGCTCCTCAGCGGATTGCAGGACCGGCTGGCTTCCCTGCCTGTCCGTCCCCAGGCCGGTGGGTGCGCTCCCGCCATGCCTCGTGCTCCCCTCACACACGTGCCACTGTCGCATGACAGGCTTTCAGGATGGCTGCTGGAAAGGTGGTGTTCACGGACCCCAGGAGGGGAGGGGGTCCCCCGGGAGCCGCCAGGGCGGTCAGGAGGCAGAGCAGCGAGGGAGAGCCCGCGCAAGGGCCCCTGCGTGGCTTTGGTGGGAAGGACTGTGTAAGGCGGGGTAAACAGCTGCCCGGGCTTCGGCTTGGCTGGTTGGGATGCTTTCAGCAGCCTTAGGGGGCGTGCTGCCTCCTGGTGTGAGGGCCAGATTGGGGTGGGGGTGGGGGATGGGCTCTGGATTGGGTGGTTCGTGTATCAAAGATGTTCTAGAAAGCAAGTAATTTACTATCTCTAGGAATTAACTGGCCCTGGAGCGGGGTGTCTCCCCGTCACTGAGGTCCCAGATGCCAGAGCACCAAGGATGCAGAGGGCAAGAAACATGAGTCATGTAGCTGAGTAGAGTCAGTACACATTCTCCGTTACTGGCACCCCATCCCTCTCTGCCCCAGGGCCTTTGCTCTGTTGCTTCTGCTGGGCTCCAGGTTCCTGCCCTTCCCTGATGTCCTGTGAAAGTAGCAGCCCCGTTTCCCCTCAGCCCTGTGCCTCCCTTGTTCCCTGTTGGGTCTTTAGTGCCTGGAACAGTGCCTGGCACAGAGTGGATGCTTAATTAACATTTGGTTAATGTGTGAATGAAAGAAAAGCAGAGAACGGGTACTAGGGCCGACAGTAGCACTGCCCTGTCGCTAGTTGCACCAGTATGGGAAGGAACTAAAGACCCTGCAGTCTTATGCAGGCAGTGCTGTGCTGGGAAGGGGCTTGTTGTTATGGTCTCTGGTTGCTTTTGTCTATTTGTAGCCATGACTTCTCAGTCCTCAAAAGATGTGCTTTTCCTTTGCTAATACCACCCCAACATAATTCCGGCAAGCTGAGAATTTAGAGTTTGTGTGTTTATCAGGAAGGATTCATTTGGTTGCAAATGATTAAAAAAAAAGAAAAACTCATCCAAAGTAGCTTAAGTTAGACGTGACTTACTCACATACCAGACAAATCCGTAGGTAGTGTAAACTTCAGGCGTGGCTTGACCCAGGGTCTTGTGCTGTCACCCGGGCTGTTCTCTCCTGGCTCCACATGGGGTCGGGTGCATCTGTTTCCACAGCCCCTGCTCCTGTGTCTTCTTGGCTCTGGTGCCCTGCCTCTGTGTCTGGGGACTTCAGTGCTCTGACTGGGTGGGGGAGGCCTGGGCACTTTGACTCATGACCCCACCGAGACGACTATGGATGCCGAGCGACCCCCGTCTACAAGGATGGCCCATCAGCGCCTGTGGGGTGGCTCATGACGTTGCGACACCTTCAGGGTCGGCCCCCTTCTGTCTCCTAGGGAGTGCTGGACGTGCTGTTGGACGCAGGCTGCCACCTGCGAGTGTCTCTCTTTGATGTCTCCTACCGCCACTTCTTTGGGAGGACGTGGAGGAGCACGGTGAGGCCAGCGGAGCAGCTCTCCCAGCAGCCGCCCCGGGTCATCTTCAATGAGGTGGGCCAAGTGGTGGGCTGGGCCGCTCTGTGGTGGAGGGCAGGAGTGCAGGCCGGGGTAGGCGGGGTACCCTGGGGACATGGCCGCTGAGCAGCAGACCGTGGCAGGGCTGGCCTTCGCGGCATGTCACTCCTTTTCCACACAGAGCCTCCTGTGGAAGCCAGGTGCCCACACAGATGATGGCTCACCACTCTGCCTGAGCAGAGTGGGCTGCTTGGGTCTAGGGACAAAGGCAGGAAGTTAGTGGTCTCATCTGATGCCCCCATCCTTCCTCCGCCCGCCCCTCCCTTTCTGCTTTCTTTTTAGTGTCTTTCACTAAATGTGTCTTTTCACTGATGTCTTGAGTGTCACGTTTTCAAGATGAGTGAATTGAGACTTTAGGGGCGAGGTGCTTGCCCAGGTACGAGGTGGCAGAGCCTAGACTCAGACCCATGCTTCTGTGTTCAGGCTGGGCGGCCACATAGGCATCGGCCGCCAACGTTTGCCCACAGGGCTCCGTGTAGGGCTGCCCTACAGACAGGTGTTTCCAATCTTTGTTCAGCTCACCAAACCCACCAGCATTACTCAGGCCTGCTGTCTGCCAGCCAGCGTGCTGGGTGCTAGGGGAGGATGGCAGACCAGATGGCCGTGGTATGTACCTTCTGGATCTTTTGGACTGTTGGGGTGACACACAACAGCAGGTGACCAAGGAATTGCAAGTTGTGATAAGGTCTGAAAGGTGACTGGTTTGCTGTGTCTGGCGGGGTGGTGAGAGAGGCTGTGGAGCTGACATTTAAGTCGAGACAAGAAGGAAACTCCCCTGTGGAGAGCAGGTCGGCAGGGGCTGCAAGCAGAGTAGGGCTCGTGTGTGCACAGGCGTGAGCAGGGTGCAGGTGGCGGTTTGGGGCATGGTGAGCCAAGGGCACCCTGGGTGGGGCGGGGTGGGCTTCTGAACGCAGTGGGTGAGGGTCCTAGGTGTGGAGGGCCTTGATGCTGTGTTGATCTTTCCTGCCTGCATGGAGGGACACCCCAGGAAGCCTGGTATTGTGACAGGGCTGGGAATAATGAAGGTGGGGTGACATAGCCAACACTGGCCCAGCTTTTGGGGCCTTCGAGGCCAGGGTGTCCTGTGGGTATAGTCAGGCCCGAGGAGGCCTGGTGCTGTGATGGTCACTGTGAGAATCGTGAAGGTGGTGAGGTGACACAGCTGCCCTCTGCATGGGAATTACCACAAGCTGGGCAGTGGCTGAAACACATTTACGCCCTTTCATCCCACTGCCCTCCTCCGGGGCTGGTGTCACTGTGCCACCTCCTTAGCAGGCCCCCAGCGGGCCATGAGGCTGTGAGTGGGGTGCAAGCAGTCGCCCGGGTAAGGCTGGCTCCCCCGCCCTGGCCTTGACCACAGTGTTTGTGCTGTGGCCCCCTTTGAACCCTGGTGACCGGGTGGCCCGCAGGTTCCAGTCGGAAAGGTTTCCCGGGACCTTGAGGGTGAGCTTATTCTCTGAAAACAGCTCAGGAGTGCTTCGCGGGCTCTGAGGCTCTGAGAAGAGCCCCCTCCACCTCTGTAGCTTACCTTCCGTCTGGAGGGGCCTAGACCCAACCTTGTCGTAGCTGCAGCCACAGCCACAGGCCATGAGCTGGCTGGGGGCCTTACTGGCTGGGTTACTGTGACCCCTGCCGAGTAAAGTCACTCTAGGAAGTAGCCTTCAGAACTGACATGTCCAGGGCTGGCATTCTACACTAGGGCTTCTGTGGTCCCCTGCCTCAGATGTCACCATAGCCTGGAAGCTGGGGACCGTGGGCCTTTGAGCTCATAGTTCAGGGCTGAGTTAGGAAAACTGACTGGGTCACGTGTCCTGGCCTGCGGGAGCCGAGCGCAGCTCCTGCTTGGTGTCTGTCATTGCTGGCTCCTGCCAAGCGGGCTGTGGGCCCAGGGACCGTGTGGGAGTGCGGACCCAGACCTTAAAGTTCCTGCAGAATCCCGCACCCTTCAGTCCTGGAGTTACCGAAGCGGCAGAGCCTCAGGTGGGAGGGCGAGGGCAGGCCCCCGGCACAGGGAGGCACAGCTCCCTCCTGCTGTTCCCGAGGCCAGCAGTAGAGGCCAGTGATGCCCCGGGAATGAGCCTGTTCTGGGCAAAGCTCAGCGCTGTCCTCCACACTCCAAGCCCTCGCCTCTCGTTTCCTTGACAGTGAGGATACAGAAAAAATAGGTTTTGTTCAAGTTTAGTTCACTAAGAGAGTTCCCCTTTGCCATGTGCATGTGCATATGTGTGTGTTTACATGCACAGGCGAAGTCGAGCCCTCCCAGAGTGCCACAGGCAGGCAGGAGGGGCTGGGTATGTGGTCACACATATCGTGTGAGTCGAAGCTCTGCCTCCATACCTGTGGAAATGGAGTTAATAGTCTGCCCTTTTTAGAGGTGACTTTGGAATTCGGTGAAGGTCGTTTTCTGCTGTTACTAATTGCCTGCATTTTTCTGGTTTTACTGATCAGCAGTGGCTTGGGGGTGATCTGATTTGGGGTTTGCAAGCTGCTGGGAGCTGGAGACCGCGTTTGGACGCAGCGTGGCTGTCTAGCCTAAACAGGGATTAATGAATCAACCTTGTGGGCTCTAGGCTTTACTGAGGTGTCAGTGTACGTGTAGTAGCTCTGAAAGAGCCTGCTAATTCATTACTTTGCAAACAATGTCCTGAAAAAGACGTTGAAGAAAGGAATCTTGCCTTCGCTGGTGTTTCTGTGAACGAAGAGCTCCTGTCCCCAGGCCCGGAGTCCCCTCTTGGCTACAGCCTCCTGAGCCTGGGTGGGGGTGGCCAGCTCCAGACCCCGCTCCCCAGAACTGGAGTCCTGTGCTCTCCTTCCAGACCCTCCCTGGGAGGGGAACCACCTTTCACGGCTGCTGAGATAGTTAATAATCTGTTAAACCTCTCAAAATGTGTCTTTTAAAAAATAATCTGGGAAGCCAAAGTACCATTCAGTGTCTACATTTTCTTCCTGAGATGGACATGTTTCTCCCTTAAGTTCTTTCTGAAACTAACCACTCTCAGCCTTCCAGTGACAGGCTCATTGTCCCTCTGTTTATTCTATGAGAGCAGCGGACTGGGGATCCTATTGGCTGTCCCCAGACAGCCGGGGCTCCTTCCTCCCAGAGCTCCCCTTGGTGTCAGGTGAGCTAAAATGAAGGTAAATCAGCCGCCGCGGCACAAGACAGGCTGTTGGGTTGCTTCTGTTTCCCATGAGCAGAGCCATGGGAAACTAGTTCCTGGATGTTCTTACTTGACAGAATAACGAGGGCGATGTAATTTCCCCTTTCCAAGTGGATGCTGTCAAGGGATATGAGTGTGACCCCAGGGAACTCCTGGAGGCTCCTCCCAGTAACGTGATTGCTCACCTGTTCCTGAGTGTGCACATGCCCCCCACCGCCACAGGGCCCCCGGCGTCTCCCGTGTTCTTTGTGCTGCTCCTGAGTGTGAATGACCACGGCACAGGCAGGGTTCTGCTGTGTGGAGATTTAACTCCCTGCCCCTTGGGGACAACGGAAAGCTTTAGCTCCGCCCACTCACGCTGTTCTGTGCTGTCTCGGAGCACGTACGTGGAGTGTTCTTGCTTCAGGTTGTAACTGGGTTTGATCACATTCCTGAGAAAGCCGAGGAATTGTTCTTAGAGCAGAACTGGTGTTGGCCGTGGGTGCGGGATTTGATGTGAGACGGAAATGGGCTCTGACTGAATCCTGTGGGGTTTTGGGCCAGTTATTTAAACTCATGACTCTGAGCTCCTCGTCTGTGTGTGAGGGATAACAGTACGCAGCTCACAAAGGTCACGTGAGTGTGAAGCAGCGTGTTGTTCACAAAGAGGCACCTAGTAAGCGGTAGTAGTCGCTCAACAGTGTTGGGCATCAGCCGTGGGGGGCAGGTGCTGGGCAGGTGCTGTGCGGGAGCTGGACGCACCGCTATGGGGAAAGTATATAAGCACTGCAGCCAAGGTCAGTGTTTACATGTCACGGCCAGGGTTTCTCAGCCTGGACGCCACTGACATTCCGGGCTGGGTAAGTCTCTTGGTGGGGGGCTGGCTCCATCACTGTGTGGTTTGCTGTGGACAGTGGTGGGTTCCACCTGGGATGAGTGGAAGTCTCAGCTTTGGAACGGGAGGTTCTGCGTTTGCTGGAGTGGAGTTTGCTCAGCACAGTTTGTGGTGCTTGGAGGGTCAGGTCCTGATGGGTGGTTTCCTGTTCACCAGGAGCCTGGGCCCACAGACAGAAGCTGCCGGGAGTATTTGGGAACTGTTTGCTTTTCTAAAGATACCCTATTAAAGGTTTGTTTAAAAAGAATGTCTGGAAGGCACTCGTTTAATTTCTGCTGCTCTCTTCCCTGTCCTTGTCACCCAGCTCCTCTTTCCTGCTTGGGACAGAGGAGCTGTGTGTCACTCAGGGCAGGTCCTGTAGGAGTGCATGACTGCTGCATCCCCGTAAAGGTGTATCATCAGAGGCCCAATTTCAATTCTATCATGTGGGTGAAAAACACTGGGCCCCGAGGCGAAGTGGTGTCTGGTTTTGAAGATGAAGGCGTTAAGGTGGGAGCGTTTTGATGATGTATTAGTCTGTTTATCCCATCAAGGAGGAAACCTGTCACATGTGGATGAAGGAGATGTGACGTGGGGTGCATGTGAGCCCCACTCCTGTCCCAAGCAGGCTTCTTCTCGCAGGTGATTTGACAGGCTTGACACGAACTTTTCACTGTGTTAACCGTGCGGATTCAGCTGATGCCCAGGCTTTTCCTCCTGGAGCCCATGTGTGGCGTTATTAGACTTACTGAGACTGAGGGCCTGGTTGCAGGTTCTGCTCAGCCAAGCGCCGTTCAGACTTCTGGCTGAGTACCTCTGCATGCTAAGAGGCAGGAATGGCACCCAGGCACCGGCTGAGCCAGGTCAGGGTGACTGTGCTCTTCTGGGGATGCTCCTGGCAAGGTGGCTAGAGGATTAAAGCCTGCTAAAAATATAAATACAACTGAGTAGATTTGAAGGTCTAATTGACTTTATTCAAGGATTCATGAATTGGGTGGCTGTCCCATCTTGCAAACAGAAAGGAGCTCTAAGGAACTGCACAGAACGGAAGGCTTTTATAGACAGAAGGGGGCAGGACAAAGGCATTTCTAGCGAGGAGTGGATTGTTTCAGGCAAGGTCACCTCCTATGGGGGACGGGAAGGGTCTGTCATGCAGATCACGTCACTAGTGCTGACCAGGCAATTCCAGGTTCACTGGGTAACAGTTGCCTTCCTGGGAGAGGCTGAAAGTACAGTCATGTTAGGTATTAAATCTTGGTTTGCACACATGGGGCTTAGCACAAGTGGCTCTGTTTTGGGCCTGTTGTTTGTATTGTGTTTTCGTCTCTGGGAAGTTTTTACTTCCACAGCACCTCCGAGCTCGTTGACCTGAGCTAGTTTGCATTTTGTACCTGCCCAATGTAGGTGTTACCTTTGAACTCTGAACTTCTTGAGGGCTGGGTTGTGTTTCCCAGGTTCCTTAGGAATTCTTTAGCACTGTTCACACACTGGAGGGTCCCTGAATGGTGTTTGGAAAGGAGTGTGTGTCCTTAACCATCAGCAGGGACATGGTGACATCTATCAGACCTTGGGGCCTGAGACATTGTGCTTCTGGTGGCTGGCCCTCCTGATGACATGTTCAGTCTTTGGAGACAGACAGCAGTGGGCCTCTGCTGTCGCTGTTCTTGGTCTCAGAGTAATTGTTTTCAGTGGTAAATGGAAGGGGAAGGCAATAGCTATAAATTGGAACTTGGAACCTGCCAGAGCAGCTGGTCCCACTGCATTCAGGCAGCACAATTTCAAGGTGACCTCTAAACTGGGGAACTTGTCGCTACTCATCAGAATTTAAAACGTGTCACTACCAAAAGGAAAAGTGGGTAGTGGTGGTGACGCCGACATGCACAGGTATGATTATAAAAGGTGGGCTCGTGACAAACTCAACTTTATAGTGGGGCCTTTTAAAACAGTTCTTGAGTCTTGGAAGCCGAAACATAAATCTCTCTTGGTCCAACCACCTGTCAGCTGTAAGTGGTCATTCTTTCATCATTTTGCAATAAAAGATAATAGAATAACGATTTATATCTCATGGCTGACAGTTTAGTGTCTCTCTGTTATCCTGGGCTGACAGTGTGTGATCACAGTGAACCCTTTCTTGGGGACACCACGGTAATGACTCATTAATAGGGGATTATTCCAGGTCTAAATCACATTGCAGCCGCGCACTTGGCCTGCCTTAGCGCGCTGTGCCTCGAGGGGCTGGTCTTTGTGGCCAGCTGGAGGCCCTGCGCTGCGCTGCACCCTCGGCCCGGATGCTGGGCTCCGGGGACTTGTCAAGGACAGGGCTGCAGCTCAGCACCACCATGTCCAAGCTCCTGTGGACACTCGTTCCTGTTGATTTGCAAACTGGTCAGCGTCTCTATCTCCCTCTTCTGCATCTGTGATGCTTACTAGTTGTCCATAAACGCAGCTGCTTTGGGGTTCATGGACTAGGGACATGGCGGCAGGGGGGCAGTGCTGCAGGCCCGCACGGGTGTGCACACCTCGGCGATGTGGCGACTAGGCGATTGAGTTCGCCTGGGTCACACTTCTCCAGAACACCTCCCCATCCCCGATCAGCCCACGGACCTACCAGACCACCGTGAACACACGTGCGCTGAGCCTTTTGTGTGCCACTCACTGTACAAAACTGTAATTATCCCTGGCTGTGGTGGTGGGCCGGCAGGCAGAGGGCTGCACCTCATGAGGGACTGGGGAGGCTACAGGTAGGAGGCCTTCAGAGAAATCGGAGTCCCATCTACTTGGCCTAGTCCCAAAGAACCTTGTAGGAAATGATCTCATGGTCATTTCTGTCATAAAAAGATGTTGGTTGGGTTCTGAACTCAGAGGAATTGCAGTACCTCGAGAACTCTAAGGACCCTGCTTGACACTGGTTCTGATGGGACTTCCCAGTAGGGCCATGTGACACAGGGACTCGCGTCAGTGTCGGCAAGTTGTGACTCAAGTTTGTGCAGCTGGTGGCACATACAAGGGCTCATGGACCTGTTCTGTCTTTGGGCCCATTTAGCACGGTCCTGCTGGGGGTGGGGGCGGGTGAGAGCCGCCCCAGCCCCGCTCTCCTCCCAAGGGCCTGGCCGCAGCACTTTTGTGGATGGAAAGTTCCCAGAGCAGATGTCCTGGTGTTGGCCGCTCTGGAGCAAGGAGCTGTTAGACCAGGTTTCACCTCCCAGGAGTCACCGCACTGCATCTGCGCTCTTCCGTGGCACCCTAGAGGGGGCGTGGACTTCCCTGCGGGGACGGCAGTGGAGGGGGGAGGGAAGGCGCCCACCTAGGTCCTCCCTGCGCCCTGAGCTGCAGGGGGCAGACACGCAGCCGCCCTCTAGCTTCTCATCTGTTTTGCAGTCCTTGTATTTTCACACGTCCTTAAACCACCCTAACATCGTGGCTGTCGTAGAAGTTGTCATCGAGGGCAGAAAGCGGGATGGGACCCTCCAAACTTTGTCTTGTGGGTTTGGAATTCTTCGGATCTTCAGCAACAACCCGGAATCTCCTACCTCGGCCTCCCAGGACAAACGGTACCTGCCTTTTTTTCTGTGTCCGGGTTTTCTCAGCATTGCTCTTGGTGACTGACCCACTCATCACTTGGCCAAAAGGGAAAGTCTCCCATTGGCACTCCTGTTGTGCTGGGCTCATAGCCGTATGCTGTGGGAGGCTTTTCCCTCTGGCGTAACCGGGTTTGCCATTTCTAAGTAGGCCAAGGAGTTGTCCTTGAGGCCGGAGAAGACTGGTGTTGGCCGTGGGTGTGGGATTTGATGTGAGATGGCTGTGGGCTCTGCCTGAACCCTGTGGGGTTTTGGGCTAGTTATTTAAACTCGTGACTCTGAGCTCCTTGTCTGTGTGTGAGGGATAACAGTACGCAGCTCACAAGGGTCACGTGAGTGTGAAGCAGCGTGTTGTTCACAAAGAGGCACCTAGTAAGCGGTGGTAGTTGCTCAACAAACAGTGTTGGGCATCAGCCGTGGGGAAGGTGCTGTGCGGGAGCCGGACGCACCGGGATGGGGAAAGTGTCTAAGCACTGCAGCCAAGGTCAGTGTGTACATGTCACGGCCAGGGTTTCTCAGCCTGGACGCCACTGACATTCCGGGCTGGGTAAGTCTGTGCTGCAGGGCCGCCCTGTGTGTTGTGGGATGTCTGGCAGCATCGCTGGCCTCCCTCCCTGGGTGCCAGAACCACCTCCCAGCCCAGCTGGATGAGCAGAAGTATCTCTCGACATTACCAGATGTTCCCTCGGAGGAACATCAATCTGACTGAGGACCGCTGCTCTACATACACACCCATGGGACTTCCTCGAGCTTTGTCTTTTCCTAGGACATTTCAGAGCAGTGTAAACTTCCCTGGTGGTGTTTTCTGGCACCTGGGCCTTAAGGGGCTGCGGTAGGACAGTGCTGTGTGCATGCTGGAAGGGCTTGGCCCAGGGTATGGAGGGTGTGGGGGCCAGTGCATCGAGGGCATGATTGTATGGCATTTAGAAGGCTCCAGGAGGTGGGGTGGTGGTGGGGGGCCTCGTGTTTCCTTTTGAGACGTGCAGCTGACCTTTAATAACTAAATGCAAGATGCAGGCAGCTGACATGCATTCCTGGCTCTTGTTTTGCAGGTTGAGACTGTATCATGGCACCCCCAGAGCTCTGCTGCACCCACTTCTCCAGGATCCCATAGAACGTAAGAGTTGAGGCCTGGCTGGCCTGAGATGTGGCTGGTGGCAAAAGTCTGAGTGTCCTGAGCAGCACTTGTATTTATATTTTTATTTGTATTATTTATACTTACCATTTATGTGTATATAAATGTTTAGAATTTATATCATTTTGTAGCTCTTCTGAAAATACCCACTTCTAGTCCTGCTCTGTGATCTTTCTCTGTGTAAACCATCCTCAGCTTAGCTACTGTGCTTAGTTTGGGCAAAGTGTATCCTGGGCTTCGATTTTTGACTGAATTTAAAGAACTGAAACAGCCTGAAAGAAGGGCATTGTTTTGTGAGGATGGCCGTGGGGATATGTGGCCCTGTGGGTGCTGCTTAGGGGAGGGCTGGTGGCCTCCTTGCCTCTAGGGTGACAGCTTTGCCCACTGGGTGAAAGAGTTGCTGTCCATCACTGGCCACCAGCTATCGCAGGAAATCTTTGATTATGAATCCTGTTGGTTAGCTCCGACCTGGCAAGGCCTTCCAGCTGTGCTGACCTGCAGAGGAATGTTCTGGGGGAACACCATCGTGTGTAGTGGCCTGGGCTCCTTCCTTTCCTCACTCCCAGTGGCCAGGGGGTCTGCTTTGGAGCAGAGTGGGGGGCTTCCTGCCATGCCTCCTTGACTGCTTCTCCTGAGCAGATGGACAGCTGGCCAGGAGGGACATATGGCCCACTCTGGCTGCCAGCTGTTTGGAGGATGGTCAGAAGGGGCAGCTGGTGGAAGTGGGGATGGACTGTCAGGGTCAGAGGTCAGTGCCGGCTCGGGGAGGGGTGTGCAGGGGTCTGAGTATTCAGCAGATGTTGCCGGGCTCTGTGATGGGAATTTTGTGTATGCCAAAGAGCCTGTGTTAAAAAATCAAACCAACCCCATCCCCTCTGATCCCCAAGGAATTTGGTGAAAATCTCATGATCGAGAAACGGTCTGTCAGAAACTTAATTGTGTTGATAAAGATTGGCTGTTAGGCTATTGCTCATTTGAATGTAGTCATCGATTTGAAGTACGCTTAGGACGAGGAGGTTTTCAACAGCGCACGTGGCCGCCGTGTCTGTTCCTGGTCGCGGCTCTGGGCACCGTTGGGTTTGCGTGGCCCCTGTGAGAGTGAGAGGCCTGTGGAGGGGCTGCCCCAGGGCCAGCAGTTTTTTCACTGGCCTTTCCAAAAATTCACAGACATTTTTCTTCTTTGTTTTTTTCTTTTTCTTCTTATATTAATTTTTAAAAATTAATTTATAGTTGGTGCACAGTATTTATATTGGTTTCAAATATACAACACAGGGGTTCACCATTACCCACATTATGAAATCCTCACCCCCCTCTAGTACAGTTGCTGTCAACATTAGGAGATGTTACAGAACCATTGGCTGTATTCTCCATGCTGTGTTACTGTATCTTTTATTATGTCAGGGTCAGAGGTCTGTGTAGAGGCCTGGGCTCTTATTCATGACCAGCTTTTATTATGATTGAGATTTTTGTGTCCCTTTATCCCCCTCACCTCCCCCTCCAACCGCCATGGTAACAACCAGTGATTTCTCAGTGTCTATGAGTCTACTGCTATTTTGTTCATTCTGTTTTGTTTTGTTTTTAGATTCCACAAATAAGTGAAATCGTATAGTATTTGTCCTTTTCTGCCTGGCTTATTTCACTGAGTATAATACCCTCCAGGTCCATCCATGTTGTTGCAAATGGCAGGATTTCTTTCTTTTTTATGGCTGAGTAGTATTCCATTGTGTGTATGTACCACCTCTTCTTTATCCATTCATCTACTGACAGACACTTAGGTTGCTTCCATGTCTTGGCTATTATAAATAATACTTCAATAAACATAAGTGTGCATATATCTTTTTTTTATACTATTAAAGTATCATTTATATACAATCTTATGCTCAGGTTTCACATGAGCAAC